TAACACTTGCTTTTATTCCAAACAAGCAAATGTTTGATAAACATTTAATTCCCGAAAGTACTTGAGTATTTACTTGTGTTTCATGCATTTATGAATGTAGTAGTTCAGGTGGGTAGCTGCGTCAGCATGCGTAGGCTGCAAAGGAACAAGTAAAAGGTTTATTCCATGCTGAAAAAAAGAAGAAAGAGAACACAATATTTCGGCCGTGGAGCCTTCTTCAGGTGTGAGAGAGACAGGGCAGTAGCCCTGTCTCTTTACCAGTAGCCCTTTACCTTTGCCTACTGCCCTGTCTCTCTCACACCTGAAAAAGGCTCCACGGCCGAAACATTGTGTTCTCTTTCTTCTTTTTTTCAGCATGGAATAAACCTATTTATGAATGTAGTTGCTTATGAGTCAAAAGTGTAGAATGTAAATGAAGGGATATGTTAAAATTGATACAATATTTATATATAATATAGTGTACTCGTATGACCTTGTTAGGAATATTGTTGTCGAAGACAATTCTTCACTCAGGTTAGGTGTGGTCAAGCAGAGCCCTTTATTCATGTGCATGGGGGATACAATAATGCAGATCTAAGAGTAACCTCGCGAACGAGATGGTAAATGCAATGAGTTTTATACAGCAAATTCACACAGGAAAGCTCATTCTAAATTTCTATATTAGAATTTCTCTCTACAAACATTTCTTTGTAATTGACCACTTTATTCTTGAGAAGCAATTTTATATTGCTTGTATATAGACAAAAGGAAGTATGAAAATAAAAAGTGTGAAATTTAGCTAGACATTCTGCAGTTTCTAGCATTAGCATCAAAACATCAATTAATATGCTTGCAATTGTTCTTTTATTCTGTTGCTAGGTAAAAGGTATGTTTCAAAGCCAACTAGTCACTAGCTTATACGCTTAGAAAAGGTCAATACTAAAATTCTTCCTCATTGTGTTCAATTTTGGTCAACAAATTAGGATATTGCTGTTCTTTAATCCATCCAGGGAAGAGCAAGGTACATTGCAGATTACAAGCGGATCTGATACAAGTATTAAAACTCAACCCATTGGACTTCTTGAAGTTCTTCAGAATAAAAAGGGAAACCAGAACCAGGACACACAAGCAGGAACTATGTGAACTAAGACCTAGAGACACTTGTTTATCCAAAGGGTTGTGAGACCCTGGAACAAACTACCCAGCTATGTTGTCGCAGTCGATATACTGCACTGGGCGAGATTCTTGGATGAATTAACTACAAACTAGGCTAGATGGTCCAAATGACTTGACTGTTTTAATAATCTAATTTACTGGGGGAAAAAATGTTTTCCATAGAAGTAAGAAGCATTTTCAAAGTAAGTTAGGATACAAATTTAATGGAGTGGAGATCTAAAGACTTAAAGCATGTTGTGATTGTGCTTGAAAAGGTATCTCGAGGATAGAATTTGTTTTTTTTTTAAGCAGGTTGTTTTCTGAACAAAGTCTGGATACATTATATAAGATACAGGCTGGATAAACGACAACAACAACAACAACAAAAGTTTGCCGGATACCATTGAATTAGACTCAATGTGTGCTTGACTGCAAATGCCAAATGCCAAATCGCTAGCAATTTTGTTCGTCATATTTGCGACATATAATAACCGTCACTTTTTAGTACCATGTGAAAGTATTTGACCTATTTGCATGTAACATACTGGACACTGAAATTAAAACCTTTTTCATTTAACTTATTTTACATAAAAAAAACGCTGGAAGTCAAATTATTCACGGCGGCGTAATGTTTGTCAGTAAATTACTTACATTTTCACGAAAGCACATCTCCGCAGTGCAAGACAGGGTTTGCAGCTCTGTTTAAGCACCAGATGCTCCTACTGTGTTTATAGTTTCCAAGCAACGGGCCTCCTCCCAGAATTCAGCGCGACACAAGCAGCATTTGCAGGTGGACAGTAGTACAATTTTTATAGTAGCGTTTTCGATGAACCATGTATTTTAGAAAAAAAACAAGAATGATATTAATAACTGAATCTACACATCTCTCCTGAAATTTTACCAAGCTGCGTTTACACAGAATTTTTTTCCGTGATTAACGTTTTCACACAGTACTATGCTCCATTACACTGCACTGTGCGTGTGGCACCTTCGTATCTGTAATATTTCTATTGTTTCAGATTCCTTATTAAAGATTTTTCTCTGTTGAATTGCATTTTCACAGTAATAACTGACTGTCACGGTAATAACTGTACCAAGTTAGAGATACAGCTATTACTTTAGATGTTAGAACATGCACATTTTCTGAACCTTCTTTCATATTTGTAATATTACTAATTATTAGTTTCGTTGTCCTTTACCATTTATTTTTGTTCACTTTGGTTCTATTAAACCCCTAGAGCCTGTTTATGCTGGTTTAAATCTTTGTTTTTACTCAACATTTAAGGTTATAAACAGTAATATGTCTTAGGACTTAATGTCAGGGAGCCAATGAGAACTGCTTATGTTGAACTTTTAGTAATTTCTATAATGCGGTGGAGGTAAGTTTAGGGTCATTGTAAACTCGAAAACAAAAGCCTTCAACCACAAACCATCACTCCGGGGATTTTGCATGACATTGATATTAAAGTAACACCTAACCTCCATAGACAATATAACATTCCCTGGCTAAGATTATAGTCACTGACATCTTTATGTATGCAGCTTGGCAATGTGGTATAATAAAGCCCATGAACATAGAAACAACAAAAAGATCCATACAATGTATTCTCTGTCACTGCAACATAATTATTCTATCCATTTACACTAACGCAATTCTTAAGTCTTTGCACTGGTTATCAATATGATCTCACATTTACTTTAAGATCTTATAGCTCTTCTATAAGACTGTTAATCAACAAGACCCTCCATATTTATGTGACATAGGGACTCCCTGCACACCACACCACACGTTTGAAACCTGCTCAAGGTGGTTTAAAAAGCTGTAGGAGCAGAATCTTGTTTACTCTGGTCCCGGAACCAAAATAAAATCAACACGTCACTTCTACAGTACGGATAAAGAGCTACAGTGTGTTTGATTTGGTGTATATGTGAAAAGAGGTTTCGTTAGTTTGTTAAAACTTGAAGTATTATTTTTTAACAAACGCCAGATGAATATAAGACTGAGATCATAGCGAATATTTATACATTGAAGTGTAAAATGGGTTATTTCTGTGAACCAGCTTTTAATTTAACGGTTGCAGTGTTTCAACTCACAAAGCGACAGACTTTCATAAAACACCGAGGAGACGTTTTTGAGTTCCTAAGAGCCCTCTTGTAATGCGGGGTAAACATGAATTGTAGGTAAGGGATATTGGTGGAGATATTGGCAGTAAAACGTATTAAATACAAAGTCACATGGTTGAATTGGAAAGCCATGATCAAATGGCAGCAATTTTCTTCAAACTGAGCTGATCTGAACCAAACTTTCTATAAGAAACCACTCAGTAGGTCTTAGTAACCTAATAATTTAGTACTGAGACACTGGAATAGTGCTGTGCTTAATTTTTACACAAAGTAAGGTGAAGAAGATTTTATTTTAGAACCACTACAACCAAATAAATGTCACACACGGATCTTTATTTACTTGTGTTTCCTATCGTTTGACTGAGCATTTTGGTAGTGTACAGACATTCGTTGGGAAACCATTATACAAGACCTGCACAGGTCACCTGCATGAAAAAGCAGGAGCAAATTCACCTGGGTGTTTTATTCACTGCCCTGGCTAAATTCCATTCTGGACTGGAGCACTCTGGACTACCTTCAATTCCACTTTAATTCAATTAATGAAACAGCTTCTCCTCCACCTGCTCTGCGCAGTAGGGGAGTGGCCGTGTTTGCCCCCGGCGCCTCTGCTCTTAGTGGTGTGTGAATGTGTAAATCGCTTGGGTAGCCTTCGAGATGACTTACTAAAGAATGAGTATTAGTCGTATTAAGATTGAATCAAACGGTTTATTTTGAGAGAAAAAAATAGGTCGATGCTATTTGCATAAAATAATCCAAATTCGAATAATAATGGAATTATCACTATTTCGTATGTACCGGTAACTTTAAGATGAATGAGTGCAATAATACGTGATATGAAATGAAAGTAGCGCTATATCTTCCATCGCCTTTTTTTTAATTGTACCTTATCATTTGTGCTCACACGACTCGCATAATAAATGCACGGGCGCACCTTTTCATTGAAAACCAATGAAAGGCCTTTTTTAAGAATCTGTGAAATCCAGGGGTCACGCATAATTGAAGAAATAACACCGGGTCCACGTAGAGAAATTATTATTTATGAGGTCTGCACTGGCACGCTGACCGGCTGCGCGCACCCCGCCGCTCGGGGGCCCGGTTTGGTGGTTTCAGAGCGAGGCTGGGGGGGGCGGAGCCGCCACCGCAGAGCTGTTGCTGAGGCTGCAAGATGGCGGAGGGTCTGACAGCCCAGGAGGAGCTGGTAAGAGCGGGGTAATGGTGTCTTTTTATCCCACCTTTTGGCCGATGGCGCTTGTGTTCTTTGAAGACATTACCGCGGCAGGTAGTACGGCTGTGGCTTGTGTTGTTGATGGTGCCGGGGCTGCTCAGATCCCTTATTTATCGGGGGGTAGCTATCAAAAGCTGGAGCATGTCTTGATAGTAAAAGTGGGTGGGAGGGACAGATCGAGGGAGGAGTGAAGAAGGCCCAGTCTTGTCTATTGCGTTAATTCTTTCTTTAAGGCTCTTTTTTTTGGTTTTCCTTTCCCTACTTATTTAACTATCAAGAATATGCAGGACGTGCAAACACATGTCTTTATTTTGCACATGCCACTCGGTCTGTGAAAATGATGTTGCTGTGTTGTGAATGCGGATTCCTTCTGACTACATTCATAATTACCCATTTATTGGAAATGTTTCCCGGCCCCCATTTTTGAAAGCCTTTATATTTGTATATCTCTAGAGGTGGAAAGAGACACTTCTTACTCTGATTTCGTGATTCCGAAAGTCCGTCTACCTCACAATTACACCCTCGAACGGGTTTCTTAATGTGGTCAAAATAAAATCAACACGTCGCTACTACAGAACTGATGAAGGGCTACAGTGCATTTGGTTTGCTGTATACTGTATGTGAAAAGAGGTTTCGTTATATTGTTAAAAGTTGGGGTATTAATATTTAAGTTGCCATGCAAGTGTCAAAACTGTTTTTCTTATGCAATGTTTGTTGTGGGTATTGTAGAGGATTTAAATATGTTCAGAACTTGGTAGGGTGTGCTACATGCAACTTTTGGTGCAGTCTTTAGAAAATTTAAGTACTGTACTGCATTGGGAGTGTCTGACAGCAGGCTGCAATTAGCACTCTTCAAAAAATAGAAATTCCTGCAGTGCCAGACATCCTGAGGCTGGTCTTCATAGTCACTTGCAGCAGTACAGGTACAGACACGATTCAATAGTACTGTAGCTGCTGAGAGTTATTCATTTTTCTGGTGCCAGAAACATAGTTCCAGACCTTCTTTTGAATGTTTCTCAAGGCTCTAAATGGTGATGTCAATTCTTGAATTCCATTGCTCTGAGTAGTAGACGTATCACCAGAATGCAAAAAAGAGGTAAGACTATAGAGCTCACGAGTAATAATAGCTTACAGACTTTTCAAAGCACAGGTAATGGGGACTCTCCTCCACCACCACCATTGTGCAGCACCCACCTGGATGATGCAGTGGCAGCCAAAGTCCACCAGTACACTCACCACACTCCAGCTGTCAGTAGGGAGGAGAACAGAGTGATGAAGCCAATTCATAGTTGGGGATTATTAGGAGGCCATGATTGGTAAGGGCCAATGGGAAATTTGGCCAGGATGCCGGGGTGACACCCCTACTCTTCGAAACCCTGGAACTTTTAATGACCACAGACAGGACCTAGGTTTTAGGTCTCATCAGAAGGTGCGTTTTTACAGTATAGTGTCCCCATCACTATACTGGGGCTTTAGGACCCACACAGACTGTAAGGTGAGCACCCCCTGCTGGTCCCACAAACACCTCTTCCAGCAGCAACCTTAGCTTTTCCAGGAGGTCAGACTTGCACCTGCTGAGCTTCAGTGGGCTGCCAGATGTGAGTTGCAGGGTGATATAGCTGCTGACTGTCATCTGTGTTCCAGTATGGCACAATAATATACTTGGAAGTTCTCATAATGTTAAAGAAGGTAACAGAATAGGCTAGTTTTCCATTCATCCTTTTATTCCTCATGAGGTTTGTAGCAACCCTGTGCTTCTCCCAGAGGAGACATGCATTTGGAAAGTGAGGAGAAACTGTAGAAAAATCCCTGGGAAGCAGGGAAAAACACCCAGCATTCTTCACTTTTTATTCAAAATGGTTTTAGGCGCCAAGAGCGGGCAATCAAAGTCAATTTGCATTATGAATTAAAAATAGGAATTATTTGTTCAGGTTCTGTCAATAATGTAGTATTGATGATTAAATGACTCCTTATTTTGCTAAAATGGCAAAAGCTAAAAAGGCAAGTTATTGAATTCAATTTTGCCTGCTTCAAGAAAATAATTGTTTTTAAAGTTTGCCACTAGCTTCCTGCAAAACGAATGGCATTTCATTACAAGTGAGCGCTGTAATTTATGTCCCAGAGAAGCAGTTAAAAAGGGAAACCAAATGTTAAGTAGAGTGAAAAATGTACAGTTATGGTCACTCCATTTTAGAAATGATGATGATGATAATAATATTAATAATTGCTTACACTTATATAGCTCTTTTCTGGACACTCCACTCAAAGCGCTTTACAGGTAATGGGGACTCCCCTCCACCACCACCAATGTGCAGCATCCACCTGGATGATGCGACGGCAGCCATAGTGCGCCAGAACGCTCACCACACATCAGCTATCAGTGGGGAGGAGAGCAGAGTAATGTAGCCAATTCATAGAGGGGGATTATTAGGAGGCCATGATTGGTAAGGGCCAATTGGAAATTTGGCCAGGACACCGGGGTTACACCCCTACATCATACATGATACATGATACATCCCCTACATGATACATCAGCTCTGGACAGGGGTGCGGACAAGAGCAACCAGATACATTCTGGGACTTAAAGGAATGTCTGATATTGACTGCTGAAGGAACTTAACCTTTCTACCCTTGAACAGAGAAGACTAAGGAGGGACCCAAAAGAAGCCTGGAGAACTTGCAAGGGTACTGACATAGTCAACCCCACAGGAAACGCAAACACCAGTAGAAACTACGTGGAAGGGCACTTAAAACTGAAGGCGCGAGGCGTTTCTTTTCCCCAAGAGTTGTGGGAGTAGGGAACAAGCTACCCAGCCATGTTGTTTAAGCCAACATCGGCCTTCTTTTAAGAAACAGCTGAATGGGATCATCACACCGATGAACTTCTAACTTCCAATGGGCCTAATGGGCAGAATTGGCCTGCTCTGAGAGCTGATCTGGCCTGTAACCCTTTCCCTGAGAATTTGTTTGGCCCCAGCTCGGAGATAAAAAAAAACAGTGTGGTTATCTCTAATTCTATGGAAGGTGTGACTGTCCCATTACCAGCATCAGATGTTTGAGCACAGGCAAAACTGCTGAGTGCACGCCTGTTAACGGGAAAGGGGAAGTCCATCATGACATGGGAGGCTTTTCTGAGAAACAGGGCGGTTATCAGCGCATGTAGGTGTTCCCATTCATCTCATACCATTTCTAATTTGTGTTTACTTTGAGCCACGTCCAAGCCAGGCTTACATCTTGCCTGTTTCTTTTACTGAACGCGTGGCTTTCACCTTTAGTTTTATGAAAGCCACAGTGCTTGTATTTTTGTAGCACTGTCTCTAGTCTGCACAGCAAGGCTCTGGCCCCTTCTCACAGGTGGGGTTTGGCCCATGTCAAATAAGATTCAGGGGAATGCTGGCTAAATTGTGATTTCTTTCATTGCTTTTCTAAAATTTGTCCTACGTCCAGTTTGGCGTGGGTCATGCCTAAGCTCCCGAGAGATTGAATAAAATAGTCAGCATGCACGTATTCAGTTTGATTGTTTGGAAAATCAGTGCTGAGGTTGTTGCAAAAGACCATTCAGTCATCATCCTGTATGTGTAAGGACCTAATTGGGGATTGAACCTTTAGTTTTGCTGGATCCATCCCCCTGCCTTTACATTTTATTAACTGCTGGATCTTTGTGCGTCTTCCCACCTGGTCAGAATAGAGGGCTCCCTTGGCCAAATCACCATCCATAACGTAACGTTGATCTGGGTTCTTGAGATGGATTCATTTGAGAATGTTAATAGTGAGACTCACAACATAGTGTGGGTAAAAGGCATGTATAACTTTTGGAGAAACAAAGTTTTGAATTTCAGGGCTTGGCCATTGTCTGTGGTTTACTTGCCACTTTTTCTTCACAAATTTAAGATTAGATTAGCCCGATATATATATTTTTTCATTTCAGCGTTTCGTGGCCATCCGGAAAAAAGCTGTAATTTCGTGTGAAGCTCTAAAGGTTAAGAGGGAGCAAAGAGATCTTGACCTGGTGGAAGAACATGCATGTCAAGGGATTTTTGTCATTATTATTGCATGTTGGCATCTAATTAGGCCATATATAATTCATATGGCTGCACCTATATACTTTATATACCACACAGCTTCGGTCAAATTGTGCAGAGACATATTTAGACCTAACATATTTATCATTGAAAAAGAAAGTGTGAGTTGAAGCTAGCTGAGATGGCAGAAGATCTTATCTTTTTGAGATCAGCTCTATTAATAAGACAGGTTTTTTTTTTTCTCCAAGTGAAAGCTGCCTGTGTAAAACATTTTAAAGGAGGATGTAAGATACTGTAATATTGCGCAAAAGACGTATTTAAGAAATGGCAGTTACTCGCCAGATTTAGAGACTGGGAGATTCGCAACTCGCCAGGTTGTGCCTTTTCTGAATCACGGAAATGTTATTTTTGAACGTGTCAGAATGCAGGGGTTTATCAGTTGGACTGGTTTATAATACTTTCACGAGGATTAAAAACAGCCAAGAAAATGTTATTAAAAAAGCGTTTATTGGACATTTAGTGTTGAATTTTGCTTTTGACAAGAAGCCTGGGACCCCCATGCAGAGTGAGGAGTTAACCAAAGAGCAGCTGCAAATGTAGTGATGGGGTGGAGGAGGAATACAAAAGATAGATGTGAATCCGAAAATTATAGTATTTATATATTTTAATTTAGGAAATTACAGCAGGAATGATCAGTTTGCCTCAGCTGTCCTAAATTATGAACTTGGCTGCTGTCACCCCCCCCAAACCTTTTGTTGTTAATTCCATTTGTCCAGATTTGTGATGGCCTGTCATCGTTGAAACTGTTATGCACCACAGCAACAATAGCAGGGCATGAGGTGGCACACTTCCCACCCTTTCAAACCTGAGGTTTGAAACCTGTAATGTATCTTGGCATGTCATCTATTGGACAAGTGTTGAACTGAGATCCTGTCTAAGTGGTAATTAAAAGTCCAGTGGCCCTGTTCAAAAGAGTAGCCAGTGTTAACCCTGGTGGCTTGGCTAAACTCCACTCTTCATAGAGTTCCCCATTCATTCACTGGAAAACATTTTCCAGTACACCTCCACTTATATTTTCTGACCTGCTGTGTGCTGGGGCTACTGGCATAGAATGACTGGCTCACTTTACCGAGGTTGGTATTCCACTTAAGTGGCAGCTCCAATATGTGCCTCCCCATTTGTAAAGCACTTTGATCCTTTGAGATATACTGTAAAGTGCTATATAAATGCAGATACCACACGAACCGTACTGTCATGGCTAAACCTGCAGAACACTCCCCCATGGACTGTAGCAAATGTATTTATTTGAAGGCTTTAAGTTGTCCAAGAATTTTGTTTTTCTGATTGTCATTACTCACTTAGCTCCTTAAATAGCATTTCTTTTTAAAGTTCCGGGAGTATATAAGGAATCTGGAGAGACATAAATTACAAAGTTACAAAACAGCATGTGTTTGGAACACTTTACTAGTTTATCACTTGACATTACTGACTAATGTACTGCATCAGAAATCGCCCTGGTAAACATTGTAGGGCAGAACTGTTTTTGGCAATTTTTCTTTTCCAGAACGAATGTTTTTTTGGGGGAATGACTGTACACAGCTTTTGGCCTCCAGAAATAAACAGAAAAAGATGTTGACGCAGGTAATAAACTTTCAGACACATGCTAGAGGACATCACACTGTGATCTTTTAAAATTCCGTTTGCTGTCTAGAGAGTCGCTTACTGTAGGTGATCTTTGTGGTCACTATGTTCAAAATGTTCTCATATTTTTGAGTTTAGTTTTTTTGCCCGTGTTGGTTCCTGGAACACTTAGAGTTAAATCCCTGAATGTGCTGTTTCTGCCATGATTTTGCATTGATGCTTAGAATTGGTGTTTGTCCATTGTCCCAGACATCTCAACTCCATTTAACTTCCAAAATGCCGTAATTGTAGTAATTATTGTAGGCTCTATGGCATTTCCATATCCTACTGCCCAAGTATGTTGAATACTTTATTATGTAGGCACAGTATAATTGTTTTAGTTGTTTACTGATCGGTAAAAAAAAGATGTGATGCGTTTATCATGATACCTTTTATTTGTCAATTTGGTCTTTTGTCCTTCTAGAATTTAACATTTTTTCAAATTAGCAGGATAAGGGAAAATAAAGTCTAACGTAGTTGCACTGTTTGCCGTGGGAGAGAAATGAAATGCTGAAAACTGCTAAGGGGGGTGTCTGAGCTGTGGACTGTAGCTGACAGCGGGTGTCGTTTAAGTTCACGGAAGACTCACTATGTTGGCCTGACTTTAAACATAAACTGGACAGCTACAGTACATGACCCAAAACAAGTGAATTAAATTATAGCGCTTTGTCGCTGGATAAATATGTCCCTGCGAAAGCAAATCCCAAGACCACTTCGGTCGAGAATGCCTGGTGAACCAGCAGACAGCAGGGAGTCTGACTGATTACTGGAGCGAGATGCAAATGAATCTGCACATGCTGCCATTGACTTCGCAGTAAATCACAAAGAAACCACATGTAAAAAAACAAGCTGTTGTGTTTAGACAAGATTGTGGAGTCTGGTAACAATGTATCCTCGGGCAGTGGGTTCAATTAAAGAGTCGATTTTTCTTTGTGAGTGTGTTGCAGAAATGGAAGATGCCAGATCTTCATGAATGTTGTGATCTGTTGAAGGAGTTATTTTTAAGACTCCTGACAAGCACTCGCTTTTTCTTTTCTTAAACACACTAAAACAGTCTCGCAGTAAGAAAAGTCCTAAAGAGAGCAAGGCTTACAGCATAAACTGTCATCCAGCACAAGAAGCTTATAAAGCCTATAAATACTTTGATGAAATACGACATCCCACATTAAATGGTTTAAGATATTGAAGTGGGTAAGAGCAGTTCAGAGGGCCTTTCATATAAGAACTTTAATGGCTTCAATCAGTGTCTAGTAAAGAACATGTGCTTGTCAACAGTATATTCTTTCTAATAGATTGAATAATCTTTTCTCCTTAATTCCAGGATTGACCTGTTATTCTCTCTGGGTCTCTTGTGAAGGTTTGCGTTGAGACTCTCAGGCCAAAAATGAAATGACTTTTAATAGCATTAAATGTGTGTTGGAAAATATCTAATCCAGATTCTAAGTTATAGTATTTCTTGGAATATAAATTGTTCCCTTACATGAAAGTGGTTATCATTTTAAGTTGGTGTAGTGAAAAAAAAAAAATTCTTTAGCTTCCTTAATTTTAAGTACTGTTTGTTTATTGTTTACATATAAAGGCTCTTATTGTTTCCATGAGCAACAGAGATTTAATAACCTATTTTTTTTCTTTTAAAATACTCCGTTCTCCAGCACATCAGAATGCCAGTTTTTAATTAATATGTGAATTTGGGGTATAAAGAATTTTAAAAGCCCATTCATTGTCGAATATAGACTGCTTTTCCTTCATTACATCTAGCTAGGGACTAGACCATAATTTAATTTTTAAACTGAGATAAATTACATACTGAATTTGTTAGCTTTTCAGCCACTATACTTACAACTAGCCCACTTTGTGTCATAGTCCCACTTGGCTTTGCCAATAAGGAACTGTATTTATCATTCGGGCTAGGCTACTGTAATACAAGTTCGGTGTTTGAAGGCTATTTTTGAAACCCAATTACAACAAAAGGAATTAGGAATTATCTTTTCACATACCCCAGCTTGCTCTCCATGAGACAGACAGATAGGGAGATACCCTGGGGTCAGAGCGCAGGGTCTGCCATTGTACGGCGCCCCCAGACCAGTTGGGGTTAAGGGCCTTGCTCAGGGGCCCAACGGAGTAGGATTCCTCTGCCGGCTGCGGGATTTGAACCGGCAACCTTCTAGCCACAGGCGCAGATCCTTAGCCACAGAGCCACCGCTCCGCCCAAATTAGACACAATTATGTGTCTAATTTATCTTTGTAAAATCCATGAGCACATGCTTCAATATGTATCAAAGCTGTTAGCATATACTGTACGATAAAATTACCATGTGTCTACAACCTGTGGCTTCTGATATGTTATATAGGTTACTATATCAAATTAAATGTTAGTAATCTGGATATCCACTGTTTGTGGTACTTGTTGAGTTCTTATAGTAAACGGTCCAAATCTACCCCCCCACACACTGGGCCTGGGCAGTGACCATCCAGGCTGTGGGCTGTCCCTAATGGAGTTAGTTTCCTTGTTTCTCTGGCCTAGTGTGCGAATTGTTAAAGTAGAAAATGTCTTCGGACTACATTTCCCACGACGGGCAACCTTTAGTTATACTGATGGCGACCCGAGAATCCTCATTACTCAGGTGGGGCCTAGTTGTGTTTCAACTGGTTCTGGCTACTCCCAGCTCAGTTTCACTGCCAAGCACTGATTACCTTGAGTTTTACTTGAGCTGAGTGTTTTGTTTTGTTTTTTATCCCAAGGAATAATACAACTCTATCAAAAAAACTCTTTGTTCACCGTTTCAAAAACAGAAACGAAGTGAGGTACTTGTGCAAAACCTATACAGCTGCTTCATTACGCATCAGTGACTTTGGAGCTGACCCACTTTTAACAGACGAGCTCATAGTAAAAAGTTAATCGCTTCATTCTTTTTGTTACAGGCTGTGGAAGAGTTTTTCAAGGAACTGAAAAACAGAGAGCAACCCAATGTTGTCTTGGTATCCCATAACACTGCTGTGAAGTTTTTGATGGCAAGAAAGTTTGATGTCTCTCGAGCCATTGATTTATTTCAGGCCTATAAAGTAAGGATGCTTTTCTTACTTAGGTATAACTCAGGTTTTCACTGTTTTTCCCACATTCATATTCTTTATTTAAGTCATTGACCTGTGTTAAACTTAAGTATTGGTTAATTGAAAATAGTCTTGACACTCACATTTGTGTTTTTATAGTATACAATTAACATTGTTATATATCCTCTTTAACATAAAGCTCAGCTAGGTATTCAGTTAAGCCAGCACTAATGATAGAAGCCATAAATAGGATTAGACACTTATGAGCAGCTCATTCTGTTCTTATTTTAATCCCAGTTAGTCAATGGAATAAAGCAGTGTACTTGGTTTTTACCTTAAAATGCCTCAATCTCTTTCCCAGTCTTAACTGAATAATGCTTGTGTGTTTGCCTTCTCTCCCTTAATGTTTTTGTGAATCTGTGGTTTCTCATTTTATTATCGACTGGTGATCATGCGCTTTTAATGGGGCACAATGAGGGAGATGATACCCTTCTTTAATCTGAACACAAACGGTTTTATCGAATAAGTTATAAAGAACTTATTTGTAAATGTGTGACCAGTTTTGCAGGTCATTCATAAACTGTTAGCAAAACGCCTTCAGGTCTTCCTGTTTTCCTGAAAAGTTTGATATACCAGCAGGTCATATAATGTTGCCCTTGTTTTCCTGCTCAGAACACAAGATTAAAAGAAGGAATTTACAACATCAACCCTGATGAGGAGCCGCTTCGATCCGAGCTCCTGAGTGGGAAATTTACAGTCCTAGTAAGTATGATTCTTCTGTTTCGTTACTGTTGTTACTTAAAGGTTTAAAAAAATGTTAATACATTTTCTGTCTGAATCTTCCTGGATGAGTAATACAGGTGAATGTCATAGTTTGGAACAAGATAAATGAATAAGCAACTGGAAAGGCATTTTACCATTTGGCTGCAGTAAAAGTAGCTCAGGGATGAACATTATTATCCTTTACTAATGGTGTTCTGTGTTTTTTGTCACGTGAATTCCCTATAAACATACCTTTGCCCAATTCTGCTTCCCAGTCAAAAAAACACAATCTGCCTCTTAAATCATTTCCACTTCACGTTCTAATTTAATATCACAGGCGGTGAAGGTTTTACCTCATCAGCCCCTCAGGTGGAGTTCACAGGTGACACTAATCCCTAGTCTCAGAGCCCACGACAGTGCAGCAGTTTGCTAACCGATACATGTGTGTTTGTAAATGGCCGTGTTTGTATTTGCCGAGATTCTTTTCAGCAGAAGAGAGGTGAACGTAGTTGGCAATAATCACAGCCGATATTTTGAACAGTTCTGGTTAAAGATGAAAACTTCCTGTGCTGTGAGAGCAATTAATGCTTTAGTATGAGAATACTGCAAGACCTGATGTGTGGAGAGCAAAACTTTGAATCTTTTAGTCAGGTTAGTACTATCTATCCACCAGAGCTATTCGGACGTGAATAATCCTCCACTCGCTACTTAAGGCCTCTCACTTGGAAAAGTCTCTAATTTGTTCTCTCTCACCCGGAATAGACAGCAGCTCCAGGTTCCAGGCTCAGCCACTCCACCCCAGGGTGTCTCCCAGCAACTTGTCAGGTGGAGGAAACCAAACTGCTCTAATATATTTTGACTAATTGGGATTTAATGAAGTTGCATTGAGTGCTCATTGCATTTTAAAAGGAAGCGTGGAGCAGTATGTGTGGATAAGGAAGGGTTTTGTGCAAACCTATTGCTTAGAGTTGTAATGGAAGTTTTAAAATCCTGATAGTATAGAAAACCGTCAGCCTTGTCCCGTTGCAGTCATTTCAAATGTATGTGATGTGATTTCCAAAGGTTTGCAAAGTTTTGCTTATGTCTCTCTTGATTTATTTTTTTTTTTAGTTTTCGAAACAGTCATTTTTCATGCCCCTGAAAAGAACTGGCTTCATTTGCAGGGTTTGCTTTTAGTACCAGTCGGAAATGGGGGTTGCCTTCATGATACTGCTGTTTTCAGTAGTTAGAACTGCTCCTGCTTCAGTGCTACCTATCATCAGCCTGAATATTTAATTATGTGTTGCGGTGAAAAGTAAGTTGTTTAAAAGACTTGCAGTTTCTTGTTTTTAAAAGACATGCAGGTGAACAGTATGAAATCACTTTTATGCAACTATTAGATCTTTCAGAGAAAGGAAAGACAAATAATTCACAAAACCTTTTTTGGAAGAAGTGCACTAATCAAAAGAAACGTTGGTGGGGGGTGTTACTAAAAATGTATGCACCCTTTTCAGGTTGTCTTGTGCTCAAAGGCAATAAAAAAAGAATGTTGCATATTCTTAGGTTACTAGAACTCCAGTGAAAGGAAGTCAGATGGGACTTGACCCAAATGTCACAAGTTATTTTTTCCAGCTTTTCTGTAAATTAAACATGTAACTTCATGCAAGAACCCTCTAAATCTGTCGGGTTTAATGCTTCTCTTAAGCCTTAACTAGGTTCTGAAATTCTGTCTGTCTCGTGTGTGTGCCAGAAATCTTTCTCAAGAATAAAGGGCTTTTGTCATCGGAGCAACAGGGGATAGTCTCATTAGGTGAAAGTTAAAAGCAAGAGTTTTATCACCAAACGATAAAAAAGAGAAGACGTATTTGATATTCTTATGTAGAAAACTGTAAAATAGCTAAGACCACAGCTGTGAAAGGTTTAGAAAAAGAAGTGAAGGCTATCTGATTTGAGAAGCAGTAGAAGTAGGTGCCCCATATTATCTTATGTATGTCATATATTTTAATTTTAAAATCTCAGCTAGATAAACTGGTACCAAAGTCTCAGCTTCCACAGCAGTTTGTGTTCCGATTCACAGTACTGTATTGAGGCAAGATGTTAATGGCTTTGTTGCTTTGGTGAATTTTAATGACGTGGTTTGTCTTCAGGTGATTTTTGTTACGCATCCGCTGGCATGTCTAGTGCTTTTAACATAATTTCTTTAGAATATGGTGAATGCGTTCGATCTGATTGTGCTGTGTGTCACTGTTATTGAGCCTTTTAATGTCTGTGTTAGCCTGGGAGAGATGCAAAAGGAGCAGCACTTGCCTTGTTCACTGCCCGTCTCCACAGACCAGACATCACTACACACAAAGCTGTGCTGCAGGCCATTATCTACCAGCTGGACAGAGCTATTGAAAGGTATTGTGAGGAGCGATGTGAGATATTTTTCGCTCGTACAGTGCTGCAGAAGTCCGTGGTAGCTTGCCGCTTTGCGTATTTTGTTTTCACTGAATTTGCAAAGAATGCATCATCAGGTGCTCAAGCACTGGGGCTGTGGGTAAATATGGAGGTAATGTACTGGGTGCGTCTGTATTAGTACCCATGCAGGTGGGAACCTTAGCTGTAAGAGAGCAGGTTTTCCTTCCATTTAGAGAGACTTGACTGTCAGATGGAATGCCAGAGCCTCCATATGTGCCAACAACTGTAAACCTATTCATTGTGTGTGGGATTGGCAGATGAAAGTCTTTTGCAGTCATTTGCACCCCTGGTTATCAAACGTTTGATCTTGCTGGTTGCTGGTTGCAAGATCCGCTGTCGTTTTGAAAATGTCGTGATGTTTTTTTAGCCATTTAAGGCTAATTCTCTTAACCTCAAGATGCTAAGACTATTATTTTGGTACTTTAATAATAAAAACAGATCACTAAAATAAGATTCTTATTAAGTTAACCTTTGTCAGCAGGTTGTTGGCAAGATGTTGTGATTTGAAAGTCTCGTGTTTGTTGTATCTGCATTATAATGTTCTTTCCCGTTTTTCCCAGTATACAGACACAGCGAGCGGGTCTGATATTCATCTATGACATGACCCATTCAACATATGGAAACTTTGATTACGAGCTGTGCGTGAAAATTTTGAATCTTCTGAAGGTAATTTTTTTTTCCTTAAGAAGAGTGTGAATTTCTCGTCCTTGTCCGTTAAAGAGGAAACGCAGTGCTTATAATTTGACTGCTTTGGTTTCATTGGACAGCTTTGAGTCAGTGTTTTAAAATGAATCCAAAGTTTACATGAGTGACATCCTCTGTTTTTTTTTCCAACCTTGAGAAAGCTTTTTCTTAGATGTTTTTAGTAGAGGACTGATTTGAAGGACCATTTTTTAATGCCATACTTCATTACTGTGTGTTGTTTTGTTTTCTGCTGTACTGTATACAGTATTTGTCTGTCTTTTGTTTTATATATTTGCTCTCGTGTTAGCTTTTTTTGATAAGCTGTGCAAAGTGGGTGAGCTTGGAAGGATAGGCTTACTTTTTAAGAATGTTTAGCATTTGGTTCTTAAGTAATAAAGGTATATTATAAATGTTGTTCTAATCCAATGCTCTCGAATAGTGCACTGTTTGTTTTAATGGTCAAACATGGGTATGGTTACTAGTGACTGTATCACAGTAAATGAAGAAGAGTATAAAGCTTGTGACTAAGGACAATAGGATATCCTGTCCTGAAGAGGATTCATTTATAAAACAGTCAAGGAAAAAAAGGAAATTTGTAAAGAGCATTTAAACCGACATCCTAAAAATCAGCATAAAACAAACCAATATCTTTAATTTACAAACTGGCATTTCTTTTTTATATCAGGAGAGGCTTTAAGACAAAAAAGAAATATCTGTCCAGGTCTGGGTTATTCAGATAGCAGAACATGGCCACAGCAGTTGTTGGTTTCAGAATATCTCCTATGTACAGTTAAATACATTGTCAGTAAAATGTAAAAATGTCCAAGGGAAGGTAAATTCTTTTGATTTCCATTGTTATTGTCATGTATTTCACTGGGTTTTGTTATGTCATTGATTGATCGAAAACACTCCATAAATTGTCAAAGTGAAAAGCCTACAGGTCCTCTTAAATTAGTTATAAATATAAAATGGAAAATAATTGAGTAACTATTCTCCCGCTTTTACTATGACACACCCACAGTAAATAGGCTCTGATGCAACCAGTTGTCTTAAAAAGTCACAGTTTGTTGAACGAACTGTGCAATTAGGGTGTTTCACACAGTTTCAGGATAAAAATACCCATCTCTGGACAGAGAATGTGTTTTCACTTTGTCATTATAGAGTGTTTGTGTTGATGAATGGCAAAGAATCGCATATAGATACAGTAATGTGTGAAAACGTCCAAGGAAGGTGAATAATTTTGATAAATGTGGATCCACGTCATCCCTGAATTACACATTTATCCATTGCTCTTCGTTCCTAAACATTGAATCAAGGGATGTTAGTTACAAAACTGTATTTATATCGCAGATATCACTGCTCTGGAATCAGTCCAAAGAGCAACCAGATCCACTCAGGGACTTAAAGAAATGTCCTGCATTGATACACTGAAGGAAATGAACCTTATTAGTCTTGAACAAAGGAGAATACAAGCGCATCTGATAGCATCTGAACTATTCAAAATCCTCAAGGGCCTTGACAATGTCAACCCAACGGGCTTCTTCAGGAAAATTGGTGCAACACGAACCAGAGGACAAGGCAAGAAACTGCATGGATGTGCATTTAAAATCGAAGTCGGGGGGCACTTGTTGGCCCGAAGGCTACTATATTCTGCAACAGTTCCCCAGCCATGTTGTTGAAGCTGATCCCCTGGCTTCATTCAAGAAATGGCTAAAAGAGATCCTGTGATCAGTTCGTGAATAAATCTGAAACAAGCAAGAGTGCCTCCTCTCATATGAAACTGTCCTTGCTCCTGTAGTGGAGTTTCACTGGAGTCCGTTTTAGATGGTGGGTTTTTATTTGTCATTGAACAATCATGGCTGCTCTAAAATTGCAGATTGGAAACGTAAACATGCCACATTCCTGTCTCCTCTATTAATTTCCCCAGTGGATGCGTGTGCATGTTCCTCTGTAATATTCCTATGAAGAGGTCTTTAATGTGTTTTTCCTTCACCAGGGTGCATTTCCAGCCCGGCTCAAGTGTGTGTTCATCGTCTCCTCTCCGCTGTGGTTCCGCGCACCCTTCGCCGTTCTCAGGCTGTTTGTGAGGGAGAAGCTACGAGAGAGGGTATCCTATTTCATTATCCCAGGCTCCATTAAGTATTTCTAAAACCTGTCTGTTCCATACAATTTCCACTTCCACTTCATTCCCTTTCCTCATCCCGTCCTTTTAAATCATGCAAGGTGCCTAATATTAGCAGACAGGCAGTAAGCCTGTAACTTAACATGGACCACCAAAAACTAGGGTGCAGTTGTTGTTGGAATGGAAAAAATTAGAATGTAGCAAGTCTTCCTGTTCAGACGTGTTCAGTACTTGTTGTGGGTACAGTACTAAGCCTCTCTTAAAAATAATTCAACCTCATTTTTTACCTTCCTGATACCAAGAAAGCCAGGCAATGCCATCTCGTTCACTGTTTTGAAACAGGAACAGTGGACTAGATATGTCTGGCCACCGATATGTTTATGTCTTCCAGCATTGAGTGCTTCCCTGTTTTCACTCTTTTGCTTATTGCTATTCAGAATGACAACAGTATTTAAGGATAGCTCAAAATAGTTCAAAATGAAATATCACATTAAGAAAAACCATGTATGGTTACTGTGTCTAAGGATTGTAAATGAATTTTCTATGACCCATTTTAATTTCAGAAGCAGGAAACAAGAAACTGTTCTTTCACTCTTAATAAAGCTCATCAGCGTGGTATAGCAATATTTTGACTGGTAAAAAGGACTTTGTTTTTATAAGGAGCCATTCGGGGTTATGGTATCCCAAAGCAAAACAGTAATGTGAATTATGGGACACATGCACATTAATTAGCTATGACATCTTTCACCATGTGAATCGACACGTCTAAAGACTTTTAATTCTGCTCCACGTGAGAAAGTGAAAGCCCCTAAATCATATTAGTATGAAATATTATGTTGCTTTCCTCAGGCCAGGGAATAATATATCTGTGGTAAAGGTTAATTGGAGTAAATAAACATAGGCTGTGTTGTTTTAATCCACTGCCAGTGACTATACACCATACTGTATGTACAGACCGTCTTACATGACCCAGAGAAAAAATGTTCCAATGAATTCTTATACAACCTCTCACAGTATCATCGATTGGATAGACGGTAAGCAAGCTTGTGAAGACAGTCCATTTGCCAAATTAAATTAAAAATACAACTTGGTGTATTCAATTGAAAGCTCATTTTACGCATCGCATAAACAGTCCTGTACTTTCGAAGATCGATGTTCATGTGGAATATGAGAATTTCTGATTTTATAAATTGACGGAATACTTTGTTTTCCTTTTAGTGTTTCCATAGTTTAAATTATTTAAAACTTTTTTTCATCCGTATATGAGGCTCAACTCATTCAAATATAGAAAAAAGCTGTTGGCAAAAGACTACAGCTTTCATGGTTTTGTCACCTTCTCTTATCGATTGCCTTCAATTTGACACACAAGTCACGGGGGCTTTTCCATCTCTGTTTTTAAAACTGCAGTCAGACACGTGAAAGAAAGCAGATTTGTTAATTGCTTCCCATGTTTGTCAGTGGAAAACTGAATTCTTTACTGATGTCAGATGAAATCAGTTTTGTGAACCTGTAGTTTGCATTTCCTATGAATCTTTCTCAGCCCTTACCCCTTGTTACCACTTTACTGTGGGAGAATTTTCCCCCCTTCCTTGTGTCAGCATTCCTTAGTGGTTCAGGGTGCTGTGAAATCTTGTTTGGAAAAATTCCAAAGCCGTGTAATCCGGCGTTTCACATCTTTATGCACTTTTGAACTCCTGAGTCAGAGTTCTCTGCCAGAAGGTTTTTTTATCCTGAGTATTTGTGCAGCCAGTCACTAGCCTGACACACAGGTGGCAGCTGAATGGAAACGGGTGTTATGAACATTGTGCTGAATGGAACGACTTCCAGTATCTCAGAATGGTCTGTGAAGCTCCTGGTGAACAGCTATTTTTTTTGTAGCTCCACGTGATTTGGCCCGTTTCTAGACACAGAATAGCCAAGTAATGACAAAATAAAAAGGCAAGGCACTCTACTTTAACTTGGATTCTGAGGAGTTCAAGTCCGAGACTGCCTGCCTGAAAAAATCCTTTTTAAATTTAAAAAGCATTTTTAGTCTGTAGGTGAGCATTAGCAGTTTATGAACAACTACAAAATGGCCTTATTATTTAGGTTTACTATTAAACTAAGTAAGCAGTAGGCTTCTCCTGGTCACACAATTAATAAGGATTAATAACATACTACTGTATAACGCTGGCTTATGTCTATTTCGTTAGAATAGCGGTTGAGATTTAGATGTGTGGTAGAATAAGAAGAGGTTGAGGCAGTGTTGTCAGTCTTTGTTCTTTATCCGTTTGAAGGTATGCACTGTGAAGGCCCATGAGCTGGCCAGCCACATCCCCATGGAATCACTGCCAGAGCATCTAGGAGGCTCTTCCCAATACAGCCACGTCGCCTGGATCCAAGCTTGTGTGAACTCCAGCCAGAGCCAGCAGAAGGGGGACTGCATGGGCAATCTCCTCCACTCCTTCTCCTTGGAGCAGACGCCCAACAACAGCGACGGACTGAACTCCAACTGCGCGCCGCACGCCCTGACCGACAACACCGCGCACCTGCACAATCACTACCACGAGAATCGGACTAGCAACTTCCAGGCGGCCCCCAGCGCCCAGGGCAACTGCCAGCACTGGAACGGCTCGGCGCTGTGCGCGAACGTCCAGGGGGGCGACGGCAGGGACCGCGCGGCCAACGCCAACGGGCGGAGGCCCCCCCCGCAGTCGGAGACGCCCCCGGACACGCCCTTGCACAAGCACGCCGCCGAGGAGGCGCACGTTCCCCCCCTGCCGCAGAAGTCGCGGCCTCTGCCCACCGCGGCCGAGCTGTCTATCCACGTGCCGGAAGGAGGAGGGATGTCCGTCCAGGAGCTAGTGCTGCATGTCAAAAGGAAAAAAAAGAAGGGCATCTATCAGGAGTACGAGGAGATCAGGAAAGAGCCCCCGTCCGGCACCTTCGACTACTCAAAGTAAGGAATCGCGTCGTGGGGCGGGAGGCATCCTTCCCAGCATGCCCTGCGGAGCAGGGTTTGACAGTACTGTCTGCTGCTGACAGCTCAGGCACAGGTGTTGGCAGCTTTTCCTCCAGATGAATGACTTTTGGCTTGAAAGCCTGTTTTCTTTGGGAACGGAGGATACAGATGGAATGAGTGTCCATTTACCCAATTGTTTTAGTTCCTTCAAAGTTCACAGTAAGATTCGGAATGTCTTTAAAGTCGAGGATCATAGCAGTAGAGTCATATTTCTGTGAGTTTCCCTAAAACGGCAGTGAGTGTCAAGCTGTAAAACTTGAGCAATGTTAAAGCCTCAGCATGTACACAGTTAACAAATGAAGCCCATTGAACCCATTTGGTAGTTAATTGGTCCAAGGAACTCATCCTGCTTTCCCAGCTGAAAAGCCTTCTCTCAGAGTTCAGTGCACCTCTTTGTAGTTCCCTCTACAAATGTAAAAGCTTTTGCATAAATTTGTAAAATCTGTATTTAGATACTACACTATTCTCTCGAGACAATCTAGTTGTGATCAGGGCTTGTTCAAGAAAATTATTAACTTATTTTACATTATTATTACTGCATATAATCTTGTTGTGTGAAGGCCCTGCTGTCATAGACGTGATCACAATCACAGATAACTGATTTGTTTTAACATTTTTGTAAATATCTATCTAGCATATCATATTTGTAGAGTCTTGGGGCAGCCGGACTCACTTTGACATTTGCTGTAATATAACAAGTTGTTATAACTATTGCATTTTTGCTTTTTTTACCTGTGGAAAATGAAAAACCCATATACCAGTCACTGGTTGTATAATACAAAAAAAAGTCAGGCTTGCTGTCAAGAGTAAGGAAATACAGCATTTAATAACAAAGACATCTTGGCAGCAGTGAGATCCTGAATCTGATGAGAACAAGAATCTTGCCAGCATAAACACATTCTATTTCAACAGGGGGTGAGATGATATTGAATCCTTCTGTAGAGCCAAGTGATAGAGTGTAGAAATAGGTCATTGTCTAGAGTTCTACAAAATTCCAGTTCCGATGAAGGCATCTTCCTAGGGTCGGTACTGAACAAATTGACTCTGCTGTCCAATTTGAAATGTTTCAGATTTTTAGAAACTGCAGGATTTGGAAGAACTGTACCGACGAAGCAGAAGAACATCTGTTTCCACTTTAACTCCTAGGTCTCTCTATGGAAGCACCTGGTGTAGGCTGCTATATTGAAGAGCCTGTTGCTGATCAAGTGTGAAATGGCAGCAGGCTGTATCAATCACTGCGTTGGCCCTCTAGATTGCCTGCTGATCTCAGCTGCTAAGACAAGTCACAGTACCTGCTTTTGTTTGTTTTCAGGAAGCCTTATAATCAAATTAGAAATCGGTACAGCGATGTCTTGTGTCTGGATCATTCCAGAGTAAAACTAAGCCCTGTGAATGACGAAGATGAGGTAAGTAATATTATATACTTGATTGATGACCTTTTTAAGAATAAAAATAATTTTAATTATTCAGTAGCAATAGAGTTGCACACTCATTGCTTTTAAGTATACAGTACAGACTGTGCAAAGATCAAATAGTTTAAAAACTTAGAGACTTAAACACTTCTTAAACTGCATCTGCATATCTCCATTCAGTTATGGTCTCCACGTTATAAAAAAAAAACTAACGTTTTTAGGGATATTTATGTTTTCTTGAGCATAAATGGAGCCTTTATTTTTGTGCCCAGACCAGATTAAATCTCAGCTGCCAGTCCCAGCACACAAACCCATTGTATGGTAGCAATTCTTTTGGATAGAATGAAGAGGCCTCTTGTAAACAGAAAAACTACCATCAAGTACCCGGTTTAAGATTTGTAGTTCTCAGCTGGGGTGAAATTTTGTTTGTACCTTGGGGAAGAAGCTTGATTCTTGAATCTTGGCTGACACCATCTCAATAAAAGATGCCGATGCAAGTGTTTATGTAGTGAAACAATGTTTGGAATTTTGAAGGGTTAACAGATTCTAATCCTGTAACTACAGTGTAGTCTGTCGACAGCGACAGTGTTTTTAATCCTGCTTAGTTTGTCGGACCTGCATTGGCTGAAACAAAATATGCGATAATCATAGTTCTGATGCTTTAGATTGCACAGGACTGAACAACAACATTTTTTGCTCATCATTTCTGGAATTCTGTGCCCTGTTCAAATCTGAATGCATTGTATTCAGCCAGGATAATAGGTTTTCAATGCAGCACTTGTACACTGAAAGCATGGCTGGCTAGTCCAAATGTATTCCATCTTGTCCATGTGCAGTGTTTTGGCACATCCAGCACCTCAGTTGTTATCCTGATCATGTTAGTCATCAATAAGAAATTGTGGAGAATTTCTGCAGTGGAGTGAAGTGTTAAGTAGTGTGAAATGCAGCTGGCTAGCTTTGTGCAGTAACCAGATATATTTATTACCTCTCAGACGTCTGATTACATCAATGCGAGCTTCATGGATGGATATAAGCGGAAAAGTGCCTATATAGCAACACAGGGTAAGTGGTTAAATTTCAGAGAGCTATTTTTTGCATGAGCCAAATTGTTCACAACCCTTTGTGGATTTTAAGAGTAAATATTAGTCTTTTTCTTGTATTATTGCACCCTTTTCCTTCAATGCCAAACAGATGGCAGTGTGGAGTAATTATGGAATTTACTGTGTGGGATTTGTTGATTGTCTCTTTAATTTTTATTGCTTATAGAAAACTGTCCAGTTAGAAGGCTTGCCACAATGCTGTATATCATGTTACTAATGTGGATTTCTTTAGGGCCTTTGCCAAAAACATTTGGCGATTTCTGGCGCATGGTATGGGAACAGAGGGTATTAATTATTGTAATGACAACAAGGTAATTACTTCAGGTCTTTCCTTCTTTGTTTCATATTTTGCTGTTTTGCTGCTGTTTCAAAATCAGAATTTCACAAAATGTACTACCATTGTTTTCAGAGTTGTGGAAAGGGGTAGAGTAAAATGTGGACAATACTGGCCTCTTGAGCCTGGCAAAATGGAGGAGTATGGGCAATTCCTAATAAAAAATGTTCACATAAAGATGTTTCAAGACTTCAAGCTTTCCCATTTAGAGGTTTACAACATGGAGGTAAGATGATGATACCTAACTATTCATTATCATGTTCTGTGTGCTTTTGCTTTGGGGGAAAAAAAATACATTAATCGCATCTCAAGCAGGCTGTGTTTGCGGCCTTAAATCTGGGTATTACATAATCTTAGTTTTAACAGTATGGAAAATCACATTTTTGTTTGACGTTGCCAGACCTCCTCAGTATGTAAGAAACTTGAACCTTTTGACCTGCTGTAGTTTAGAAATGAGCTAGGCTTTCTTTTTCAGTATGAGCTTGCCACAGATTCCAAATTTCACGTACTTGCCTTCTTTAACTCTGGTTTTCTAACATTTTAATCTTGGGTTTTTCTTTTAATAAACACAAACGTTTGAAAGGCAGAATTGCTCTGGATTATAGGTCATTGGGTAACTATGGTGCCCTGAGTCATTTTAACACACACAGTCCTAACATTTAATTAAAATGTGAAAATGCATGCCCATCTCGTTTGAGACATTGAAGAAAACTGCTGGACTTAAAGGACACAGTCCTCAGGGTGTTCCTCGTGCTAGAGATGTCACATACACCCCTTTGCTAAATGGAAACTGGTTAAAACAGTAGCTTGAATGTGTGTTTTTTCATGTGCATATTAGTGTGGTTCCTGGCAACTACAGATGTATACATACTGTATTTGTATATATGTGCCTACATTTGTATAGAAGTAAGATGTGACTAGAATTGTTCATTATTTTTCCTGTAAGCATTTCTAAATAGCATTTGTGGGGTAAGTAATGGTGTTTTGTTTTTTTTGGTTGTCTAGACAAAGGAGAGCAGGGATATCGCACATTATCTGTACATGAGCTGGCCTGACTTTGGGGTTCCCAAGTCAGCCTCGGCCATGCTGGATTTCCGGGCTCAGGTGAAGCAGCACCAGGAGGCTGCGGTCCAGGCCCTGGGCTCTGAGTGGACCGGGCCAGCGGGAGGCCCACCGGTGGTGGTCCACTGCAGCGCGGGAATTGGAAGAACAGGTACTGGGGCGTGCGCTGGAGGCCGACGGTTCTGGCTGCTGGTTTTCGGCCCGGGCCAGGGAAAGCAGATGTCTTCTGTAGGCCGGAAGTACGAACCCCAGGCTTTTCAAATTCCCCCAGGAATATCACTTCATTTATATTTATGTCCATGAGTGTAAAGATTATGAAACGTGCAGCAGACATTTGCGGTCTCTGTATACACCCTGGTGGATTTTAAAGAATCCATCACCAATCTGGACCTGCTTGTCATTTCACAGACCTGGTCTCAAGCTAGCAGAGCAATCCTACTCCGTTGGGCCCCTGAGTAAGGCCCTTAACCCCAACTGCTCCAGGGGCACTCTATGATGGCTGACCCTGCGCTCTGACCCCAAGCTTCTCTCCCTGTCTGTGTGTCTCATGGAGAGCAAGCTGGGGTATATGAAAGGACGAATTCCTAATGCCAGAAAATTGTCTATGTATAAAGTGATCTTATCTTACATGAACACGCTAGACCTTGACAGACCTCGTACAACTTTTATACTTTTTTTTTAACTTGCTTTCGAGGTTCTTGCCTCTCCGTTTATTTCGGCCGTGTCAGATGGGTTTAAACTGAATTTCAGAACCCAACGGTTGCGTATGTTCAACTGGCTGTCTTACTTTCCAGATGAGTTTCTTTTACACTATCTCATGTCAAATAAAAATAAAAAAACAACTGGAAGTAGTAAACCAGACAGGGATGGAGGAACTGCACCTCCTTTTATCACTGTTTTTCCCCTCCTTGCCTTCATAACCAAAATTTCACGTTAAGTGCATGGGGGAATAAAAGGTCCTACAGGCATTTGCAAGTGCAGTTTGTTTTAGTGGACTGACTCTCTGAAAGATAGTAGCAGTTGAAGCACTTTCATGGTACGCCTTTTAGGTAAAGTATTCCTTAGCCCCCCCCGTCCCCCCCAAAAAAGAGGCATCCTTTTCCACAGTGCACCCCGTCAGGAAAGTCGGGGTGCAAGCAGTGCCCTTCAGTTGTGGTAGCCAGCTAGAGGAATTCTTTTCAGACACCGTTTCTAAAACGGCCATCTCAAATACCTGCGCAGGGGGAAACAAAAACAAGTTTAGGTAACGACTTGGAGATACAGAGCAGTCTCATTCTGTTCTTTAGATGTATTTGGCCCTATCTTGTATTTAATTTTTCTCTCTTTCCTTGTACCGGTCCAGGTACGTTTTGCACTCTTGACATCTGCCTCTCGAGGCTGGAGGATATCGGTACGGTGGATGTGAACCAGACGGTGAGGCGAATGCGGACTCAGCGGGCCTTCAGCATCCAGACCTGGGACCAGTATTATTTCTGTTACATGGCCGTCATCGAGTACGCCCAGCGCCGGGGGCTGCTGGCCCCAGTGGAGTGGTCGGACTCCGATCTGGAGACGGACAGCGAGTGAGTCCACCCCCCCAACCCCCCCCCGCCCACCACACCACCACCCGGAGAGAGTCGGCGTTTCTCCGGCAGGTTCCGCGCGGGGGGTTTTCCCAGGAGGAACGCTGTCGGGGCAGCGCGTCTTACGAGTCTGTAGCATTATTGACTTGCACAACCCACGGAATGGCAAACTTGAAATGATTCGTGTTCGTTTGTTTCCCCCCTCCTCCTCTTCCCCTTTGCGGTTTCGTTTTGCACTTGTGCTTGAGATGTGTACACGGGGAAAAAAAAAAAGAAAAAAAACTTGAACGTTTAAAAAAAAAAAATGAAAACAAGCTTTGTCAAGTTTGAAGTTTATAAATTATGGCCTTTGTACATTATCTATGTGTCGGTATAGTTTTGTCCGTCAACGGTCCATTATTTTAGCTTTTTTGTACTGTATTAAGTGTACTCTGTGATTGTTAAAATATATACTAACCCTAATGCCAAAGGTATTGCCTAGAATGCTTGGATGTTTTCTGGATAATTGATATCATCCCTGTATATTCTTGTACCATACATTTATAATGTGCCGAAAATCTTTGACAGCCTCATTTTAATATGATAGACTGATCATTGTTAGCCAGAACATAGTAATCTAGCATATTTAAAGATAATATTGATGATAATAGTAACAATGTAAACCTGTGTGGTTGTTCAGGTCTTACTGAATTCAGTCGGTTTCTGGGTTACATGCATAAATTGGCCTTAACTCTTCTGATGTTTATTACACTGCCATTAAAACTTATTTTTAGGACCTGTCCGTTAACTTCCTATTTTGTTAACATTTCCTTCCTATTTATCTTCAGCTGACACTACGAGAGTGCAGTGTTTTGTCATGAGTTTGACACTGCCTTACTGTTATGTGCCTTCTAGTTATCCATGCACAATGTACATGTGTGCTAGCAACTGACGTAAACTTGCATACCAGGATTGAACATTTTTGTAATCTCAGGGGACAATTCATTGTTGCTAGTGTCAAAATTCATTTCCATGGGTTCACCGCTGTTAACGTGTCATGTTTGATTTTTTTTCTTTTGTATTTTATATACTGTATTTTATTTTATTTATGTGGCTTTGTAAACTTTGACAGTATTAATAAATGATTGTTGGTACGATGCAAAAAGTAACTTTTAATTTGATAAAGGATATTGCAGAGTTACGCTGAAGTTTTTTTTTTGCAAGTTATTTCTTGCCAATATATAGAGAATACTTTAGGAAAAGGATTGATATTGTATTACAGTTATGGAAATGAACAGAAAATTCACCCAGCATCATGTCTTGTGAATTTGTTATTCTGTTGGATTTCTGAACTCTTCAGCAGGGATTGAAATCTTTTTGGAAACTATGTTCATGAATGAGGACAGTCGTTTTTGTTAATAGTAGTGGTGAGATGTTTAGTGTTTCTCTGAACACTACAATATGCCTGAACACTCAATTCTGTATGCCAGCCAGATGTCCTGGGTCACCTGGGTTCTGTTCTGATGTTGAATTTGTGAATCCAAACTGATTTTCCATCCATATCTGATTTATAGTGTAGTAAAAATGCATATTCTGGAAAAGTATTGTGTTTGATGTCTTTGTCTTTTGCCCTCTGTCTCATTATGAAACAATATAATAGCAGCAGTATGCAGGCCCGTGTGGAAGAACATTTCTAAGCATGTTTCCTCTTTCATGCAAGCGATCTTTAAGAGAAACCTTGTACTCTGCCCCCTCACTCCACTCCTGCTCCAGGACAGATGTCTTCTTCTCATTTTCCTTCAAGGCCTGTAAATAATTCTCCAATGCCTTGCTCTTCCTACCACACCACTTCAGAATCCATGCCACAGTCTCGCCAATCTCAAGAGTTTATTTCATGCAGTCCAACAGTCGTCTTGAATCTGGGGTTACTGTATGTATCAAATGCATTTCGGTGCTGCTCTGTTTTGTTTTTAGAAAACTAGTAGCCTACCTTTATAGCACCCTGTTAAATAACATGAAATAAAATGCCTCTTATCTTTTCATGCGGTTCTCAACACACACATTGTCAGCAAAGGACACCACAATTCAGGTACACCAGGAAGCAGAACAAATCCACAAACTCGATTCATTTCTCAAAAACCTGTTTTAGACCGAGGTTGGAGATCCCAGTTCCAGTCTTAATCTACTGTTAACATAACTTAAGTCTTAGGGAAAAGAGTTAGATTAACCCAATTAAGTCTTCACTAAGTTGATACAACCCTCAAACTTTAAAAATCAAGCTCTTTGAAAACCGAAATCTGTTGGGTTTCAGGCCTTAAGGACAAGAGAGGTTACACCCTGATTTACACCTCCTAAAGAATAGCAGGAGTTTAAAACAAATGGGCTATGTAATTTATTCTACATTTTTTATATATCTTATTAAAAATTTGATATGCACTTTTATAATTTGTATTTATTCAAATCCACTTTTTGTCTTTTAAAAGTTCTCGTGGCTGTTACTCGTTTTCTGCATCTTCCGAAAATCTAATTCAGCTGTTGGCACAGTGACCTCTAGTGGTGTAATGGAGCATTGCAGCTAGGTTTGTACTTCGCTACATGTACATTACGGCTCACTACGGTAGATTTACCAGCAAAACAGCACTGTCTGTCTTCCCTCCACCCTCCTGTGGCTGCACCTGTAAATAACACACTCTGCTCACGCCTGACTGCTGAATTTCTGGGACAAATAAGCTGTGTTCTTTTTCTCCGACAGGTGAGGGAGCCCAAGCTGCAGAAAAACGAGGAATGAAAAACTTGTTTCCTGTGTGGGATGCATTTTCTCTCGCAGAGCTGTGCCTTGTGCATCTGAGGCGGGGAGATGCTGGTAACACTGCTCTGAGGACACAGGAGCTAGGCACCTGGAAAGTAACTTGAAGGTGTGCAAAGAAATAGGTGGTAGTCAGGTCACTGTGTTACTTTGGCCAAGACACCAGGCTAGGAGGAGTATTCTGTCAGCTTAGTGGTGTCAAGCTGCCCACACACTAGGGATCAGTGGAGGAATATCTACAACTTTTCACTGCTCGTGTCTGGAGACACATGAAAGTAATGTTATAGGTGTTGGGATTTTATGTATGATTTCTGCATGTAATAGCAATTTGACCTTCCTATAGCTTGTTGTGGATCAGAACTCTGAGGACAGGTATCATGTTCTGGATGGCAGTAAAATAATTAGATGATTACTGTTTTCCCACAAACCACAGACCATGAGATTGAGACTAAGAAGAGAAAACAGTTTTATTCCACAAATAAATTTAACTTTCATGTATAGATATACTGTATTGCATGCAGGTAGCAAATACAAGCTACAAATATAAAATAGGAAACATCACGTTCTACTTGTCAAAATGAGGAAGGCTTAGATGCTTATGTTGACAAGGGTGTCAGCTTCATAATTGTGGCTAGTTAGCTTGTTCTTTGAGTAAAAAAGTGCTCCTGTTCTTGGTTATAAATGTAGTTTGATGTGGTTTCCACTGGTGTCCTGTGTCATGTTTCATTGAATTCAATCTATGAATTGGCTTCATTACTCTGCTCTCCTCTCCACTGATCACTGATGTGTGGTGAGCGTTCTGGCGCACTATGGCTGCCGTCGCATCATCCAGGTGGATGCTGCACATTGCTGGTGGAGGAGGGGAGTCCCCATTACCTGTAAAGCACTATGTAAGTGTAAGCAATTATAATTATTATTGTTCAGAGGAAGCCTTCTGGGTTGGCTTTATCAATGCCTTTGAGGATTTTGAAAACTCGAACCAGGTTTGTGCAGACTTTCCTCTATGATGGTTTCCTCTCACCTTCCAGAGACATACTGTACTGGCGGGGTTAAGCAGTGTCTCTAAATCATGGTTGTTGTGTGTGTGTGCCTTGGGACAGACTGGCATTCAGTCTGGTGTGTGGTTCCTGTACCCTGAGTTCCCAGTAAAGGGTCTGGGCTGCTGCAGTTCTTACTGGGAATGAGG